CCCTAAACCTTAAACCCCACAACCCTATAACCCTAAACCCTAAACCTTAAACCCCACAACCCTATAACCCTACAACCCTTGACCCTAACTTTCAACTCCGGAACTCGACAACTCGACCCGGGAAGTCTGCAGGACTCAAGGTTTAGGTTGAGGGAGGGTGTAGGGTTTACGGTTTAGGGTTTAGGGTTTAGGGTACTCTAAACCCTAAACCCTAAGCCCTAAACCCCAAACCCTAAAGCTAGGGGTCTCGGTGTTGAGGTTGAAGATATAGGGGTTTCGGTGTGCAGGTTGTGGAATTGCGGGGGGGGATTCGGTTTAAGGTTGTGGAATTGTCGGGCAGGGGGGGTTCGGTTCAAGGCGCTAAACCCTAAACCCCAAACCCCAAACTTTAACGTTGAGGGTTTAGGTCTAGTTGTCGGGTTCAGCGTTGAGCTTTGCGGATCAAGCCGTAGAGTTTAGGTTCTGGTAAGAGGCTGGAGGATGGCATTTTTAGGGTTTAAGTGGGGTTGATAGGGTTTAGGGTTTATAGGGTTTAGGGTTTAGGGTTTAGGGTTTAAGACAGGCTTATGGGGTTTAGGGTCTAGGGCTTATCACCCTGCCTTGCAGTCGGAAGCCCCCCTGCAGCAACGCCTCGGCTTGAGGGACTGCGCGCGAACGAGTTCGCAATGTGTACATGAGTAGTTCTCTAAATTGGGGGGGTCCCTTCTAGGGTTCCTTGAAGGGGTCCAGAAGGGTTTCCACAAGGGTATTAGAAGGGTTGGATTGAGTAGTTCTCTAATTGGGGTCCCTTTCAGGGTCCTGTTTATAAGGGTGCCATACTATATCTATCATGTCCGCATTAGGGTCCATAAGGGATCTATTCAGGGTGCCGTGGCGGGTTCTGGTTGTTGCAGCGCAACTCGGAACCCGGCACCCTGAAGTGCAGACACAGCTTCGCGCTCTGCAACCCAGCCTTTAGACCTTGAAACCAGAAGCCTGAAAGCCTAAACCCAAAACCCTAAACCCTAAACCGTAAACCCTAAAACCCCGAATCCCCCAACCTGAAAGCTCGAAACTCGCAAAGGCAACTTCATCACCGAGGGGATCATAGGGTTTAGGGTATAGGGGTCATGCACAAGGGAACTATACTTATACCCTAAACTGCCAATACCCTTATTAATGTACCTTTAACTACCACAATATTTAAATGTAGGTTTTCATTGCAACACAAAACGGTGGTAATGGTAGCTCAAGGTACCTATATCTTCGCGCAGACCTTCAAAATCCCTTAGTTGAGGGTTTAGGGTTTAGGGTTTAGGGTTTATAAGTTTAGGGTTTAGGGTTTATGGTTTAGGTAATTTAAGGAATGTACCTGTCATCATAGCCTTCAAGATCTGGCCTGTCGGGACATGCCACTGCTACATACTAAGTACTAAGGTAAACACGAAGATACACGAAGCATGCTACAGCCCCGGAGCAACAAGGACCGTAAACCCTAAACCCTAAACCCTAAACCCTAAACCCTAAACCCTAAAGCCCTAAACCCCTAAACCCCAAACCGACTGAGAGATCATAGGATGGCTTTTCAGCTGCCAGCTGGGTCACAGAGCAGCTTCAGTCGAGCTCTCTCTTGTGCCGCTTGGAAGATCGTTTGTAAGAAGAGCTGCTTGGCTGCCGGGCTAGACATGAGAGTTGATGCCGGGACGTCAGTTTTGCAGAACTCCTGCAGATATCGTGCCTCCAGCTCAGATCTAGGGCTTTCATAGGGTTTCTAGGGTTTAGGCTTTAGAGTGTAGGGCTTATGGCTTATAGGGTTCAGGGTTTATAGGGTTTAGGGTTTAGGCAGAGATCGAGCCTCCAGCTCCTCTTCCGAACTCCTTGGCCCCCAAATGTGCAGGCACATGGCATATGCAGCGGGGTCGTAGCCCTTGAGCTCGCTGTGGATGTATGGGAAGTAGTCATTCCGAAATCTCCCTGTGCTGAAGTAGGCCTCGGTACACTCCGAAACAAAATAGTTTTGGATTTGGGTTTAGGGGTTGGGGTTTAGGGCTTTGTTTTCGGGTTTTGGTTTGGGTGTAGGGATTGGGGTTTAGGGTTTTTGTTCGGGTTTGGGTTTGGGTTTAGGGATTGGGGTTTAGGGTTTTTTTCGGGTTTGCAGGCCTCGGAGCACTCAGCAAAATACTCCTTGTGGTTCGTGGCGGCATAGTGCGGCTCCCCAACTCTGACACCGACGCGCTCGCAGCTGCCAGTGTACAGGGGCAGACTCGAGGTGTAGGCGTTCATGATCACCTCTGCAAGTGTTGAAGAAGGAGGAGACTAGTCAATCGAAGTTCAAGGCACGAAGCCATCCGCAGATGCAAGAGGGCAAATCTTCCCAAAGGGGACAAGGAACCGAAATGTGGAAGATGACTGTCGACCCCTAAACCCTAAACCCTAAACCCTAACAGCCTTTTGAGGTTTTGTTTGCAGAGTGGTGCCTCCCCCGACTCACTGAAGCATTTCAGACCAAGCACTCAAGCCCCTTTAAACCCCCAAACCCCATAAACCCCTAAACCCTAAAAACTAAAAGCCCCAAACCCGAAACCCTAAACCCTAAAAGCGCTAAACCCTTAACCCTGAAGCGTAAGCCTCGTCTGTGGGGGAAGAGTATAGCTCATGCCAGGTACCACGGCAAGGATCCGCTTGGCAAAGGTACGCTCTGCAGTCCGACCCGCTTTCGATGTGCCACCTGTGTCTCGTTTAGGGTTTAGGGTTTAGGGGATTAGGTCTAGGATCTAGGGTTTAAGGTTGTCTAGGGCTTCTGTCTGAAGCAGCTAGCGGTCCTACCTATCACAAACGATATAATCAAGTGGTTTAGATACCCTGAAATGGAATCCTTAGAGTGAGAAGCCTTAATCTGCGGTTGCGGTGGTGGCCTGTTTGTCTCTCGTAGCTGTGTACAAGGTTTCTCGACTTTGAGCATCAGTATGTTGGCACCTGGAAAACAAATCTCCATGGTAGTATAAGCCTTGATCAGCAACTACTATAATTACCCAATTCGATCCCTGTGCTTTTGACAGCCACCTGTCAAACGGCAGTGCAGTCGTCCGCTCTGCAATGTCGCCGCGTCTGTTCGTGAATCGCAATGTAAAGTCCGGACCACTGGCGGCCGTCTTGAGCCACGTCCTGGCTGTCCGTTGTCTCTGACTGAATTCAGCCTCCGTGCACTTGCGGACATAAACTGACTGGAGCGTCTCCAGTTCTACAAAGAGCCCATTGAGGGCACGCTCACTGAAACCTTCCACATGGGCTGTGGCAGCTTCATTGCTCAAGACAGCAGTGGCACAGGCTGTGGTGGGACACCAGGCTTCATTGAGCCACTCATACCAACCAGATACTCTCGCGCCGAAGTCTGTGCCAATACGGTATGCCAGGGCCTGGCCACCAACCTCCAAATGCCAGCGATCCGGGGCTGGGGTGTCACGGGCCGAGGTGCGATCCGTGCATCGGCATGCTACTTCTGTGACATCTCTGCCGTCTTGTATTTTGATCAATCTCGGGGAGCCAGCTGATCCCAAAGATGATGCATCCAGCACATATCTGCCATTTAAGCAGGCATTTCCAAAGCCACAGATGCTATAGATAGGCCCTACATCCGACGTCTCCTTCAGAATGCATTGGTTCTCCGGCATAATGATGCGACCCGAGCTCGATCTCCACTTGCTACTCTGCGATGCGCTGCATTCCTTGCGGACTATGTCGAAGTGCACCCAGTGCGAGATTTCGTGTAGCAATTGAGCCGGTTGAACCTTTGTCTGCTGCAAATAGTCGCGAATGTCGAAAATCTCCACAGAATTTGACTTGCACTTCATGTACTCATCGGGAAGATCCACGTGATGACAACAGCAGCCTTTCTTGCATACACCGTTGTCCAAGTTGACCCAGATGCACAGCGGATGAGAACGAAGTCGAGCGATAACACCAGCAGGCAAGACTCGCAGAATCTCTTGCAGGTCAGCGCGAATGACCTAAGTCGTTCTTATGCAGAAAACAAGACAAGATCGATTTGAGTACTTTGTCATGCAACAGCTGTAGCAGTCCCAGCCTGACGCAAAGTAAGAGGGATACAAAGTAACCCAGGAGCTGTCAAAGCCGTATTGTACAACTCGCGCTGCAATCGTTCGTCGGTGTACAGAGCGAAGCCAAGAACATCTTGCTTCCGGTAACGAAGCCTCAGACCCGGAATCTTAACCCTTAAACCCCGCGGCCAAACCCTAAACCCTCAACCCAAACCTTATAACCCTATATCTTAAACCCTTAACCCAAAACTTAAACCCTAAAGACCAAAGCCTGACCCCTAAACCCTAAAACCCTTAAGCCCTAAACCATAAAACCCTAAAGCCCTAAACTCTAAACCCTAAAACCTAAAACCCTTAAACCCTAAAGCCCTAAACCCCCCTAAAAGCCTAAAACCCCTTAACCCTAAACCCTAAAACCCTAAAACCCCTAAACCCTAAAACCCTTAAACCCCAAAACCCCCAAAACCCTAAACCCTAAAGCCCTAAACCCTAAAACCCTAAACCCCTAAGTTTAGGGTTTAAAGCTTAAGGTTTAGGTTTTAGGGGTTTAGGGGTTTAGGGGATTATTGGTTTGGGGTTTAGGGGTTTAGGGGTTTAGGGGTTTAGGGTTTAGGGTTTAGGGTTCACCATACATGTTCCCTTTTTGGGTTCCTTTAAAAGGGATCTATAAGGGTTTCTATAAGGGTTTACAAGGGTGTCTGTAGGTTTTGGGGGTCCCTTATATAGGTACTTTAAAGCCTAAGTATATACTAGTTGGGTACATGGAGCCTCAAACCATGTTGATGACCTTCTACAACGCAGTGCAGGCTGTCTGGTGGAGCCTTGCGCTTGTCGCGAAGCTGTGAGGAAGGCTCCATCAGCTTCGGATACTCGGAGCTTCACCCTACACCTAAGGAGACATCCCGGAGGTCTCTCCGATGGTGCTTTAGGGTGGTAAAGGTTTAGGGTTTAGGGTTTAGGGTTTAGGGCGTGGGGTTCGGGATTGGGTCTCGAGAGCACGACATGGGGCCGAAAGCTAGAATGCAGGCATGACACATCAGCGGCACAAGAGTCACTGTCACTTGCTGACGTCTGACATCCCTGTGACCGTGGTCGCAAATCCTTGTGGCGCTCAATTGCTCGACAACCGCAAAGAGAGTCACCCCAACGCACCAAGCCTCAACCTTCAAAAACCTCTGCCCTGACCTATAAAGGGCCGACACCCAAAACCCAAAACACTAATCGCCACGCTTCAACCCATGCTTCTGCCACTTCTACGAACAGATGATGGTTTAGGTGTTGAACCTAGACGAAGCCGGCCCTGCAGCTTCACATCTTCACTTAAGCCACTGTACTCTTAAACCCCAAGCTTCATGACCCTAATTTCTGAATCCTTGAACCCATGGAAAAAAGCATCAAAGACTGTATGAGACCATGTGAAGCCCGATAAGCTGTGAGCCCCCCGCCAAAGAACAAAGACAAACAACCAATCAAAACCCCAAAAAAACCCATAAAATTCAAAAGTCCTAATCCCCTTACCCCCAAAACCCCTAAACCTCTACACCCTATACACCCTAAGTATACCCCCTAAGTCATCCTAAACACTAAACCCTATACCCCAAACCCCTAACCCCTTAACCCTAAACCCCAAACCCTAAACCCTAAACCTTAAACCCAAACCCCTAAACCCCAAAC